AGCCCACGCTGACTATTATGGGCTGGGGAAAAAAAGGACCAAAGCCATTGTAGCGCAAAGGTGTTGGCAGATATAGGCCGGAGGAATGTGGCAACAGGGATATTTGTTGGCTGTGTGCAAGAGAGTCTTGCTTCTCAAAACACAGTTAAGTCTGCAGATGCTTATCAGCTTGCCTAATAAAGTGTGGTGATGCCAGGGTATCAATATGGGATCAGTTTGGATGGAAGATTAAAAAAAAAAAAACATTGTTATAATCCAGGCTTGAACAGTGTACAAGAAAATGGAATTTAAGAAAGTTGGGTTGATTGCGGAGCTTTCATTGGACTAATAAATCCTTCACAAGAGGTGTTTTTTCTGCTACTCCTTCCATTCCAAAGCAATGATTTACATTATAATAACAAGACTTTGGTTGACATATCCTTACTCCTTATCACTATTATGTCTGAGTAACTTTGACCTTTACATGACTTATTTTCCTAGAAAATATATTCTGATAAACTAGTTGTAAATTACTGGGATAAGAGTGTCAACTAAACAACATAAATGTAAGGTCTGCCTCAGGTGGATGAAAAGTCTTTTTTCAGCCAACCCAGTGGAGTCTAGGAGCATGAAAGTTACCAAACACTAAAAGCAGCACATTAAGGTTCCAGTGTTAACAGTATACTTCAACATAACACACAGAAAAAAAGATATTGCACAGAGAATATGTCTATCAGGAGCTGTTTAAACCAAAAAATCTAAGGCTTTCACCTAAATGTGAATCCAGCTTTAACGTCTCACAGTTGGACTATTCACTCTTCTTCCTGAGAAGAAATTCTCTTCGCAGTAGATATTAAACTAATAAATAAAGACTAATGACAGTGAAATGACAGGCAATGATTAGAAAATGGTTTCAGGGAAACAACATAAGCACAAATATGTCTAAACAACTGATCTAGGAGATTACACGTTTTCCTCAGAACACCCTGAACTCTATAGTTAAGCGCTGCCCCATCATGCTTTCCATCACCGTCCACCATGGAGGGAGTAGGGGAATTTGGCAACTCCCCTCTCAGCCCCATTCCCTCCCAATGGGGAGGGCAGTCATACCTGGGGGCCCATGAATGGAGCCCTCAGGTAAAGCGCTGTTGAAACAAATCTAAAGCTGCCTAATGACACGCACCGTGAAACTCTTCACAGGTCATTTACGCTGCTGACAGGCTGCTGCCACAGTGCTGCACACCGCCTCCTCTTCTTCGTGTGTGTGTGTGTGTGTGTGTGTGTGTGTGTGTGTGTGTGTGTGTGTGTGTGTGTGTGTGTGTGTGTGTGACAGACAGACCTGAAGAGGGACACAGAAATACAGACAGATGAAAAAGGGATAGCCAAAGTTAGATAAGAAAGAGTGGGGGTTTGGGGGGCTGAGTGGGGTGGGGGCAGGGCTGATGTATGTGTGATATGTATTAGTCATACACTGGGAGGTAATCTGTAAGCTATGAAAACAGTGTTTAGCCTTTCTGCAGCATGGCCTCACAGCATGGGAAAGCGATTAGAGATGCTATCTCCAGTGGCTGCTCTGCACTTGGGTTAAAGAGGCAATAGCTACCTCAGGTCGTATTTCTAAAGAACTTTAATTTATGTTCGCTGTTCTTGGAGTCTGTTTGCGGAACAGTGGATATCCTTGGAAAATTTTGGCTCATATTAATCTACTGCAAATGTATTGGTAATCCAGCACACTAGTGTGCCTCTAGGTCTCATTACTCGCTTCCGCCACTTCAACCCCATACTGAGATAAGTGCATAGAAGACGGCGAAGAAGAAGAAGAAGAAGAAGAAAATGGGGGAATAAATTCTAGCCTTCCAGGTTTCTAAAGCAGTATCATTTTATATTTCTAGATTGCAAGATTCAAGGGATTTTAAGGAATGTGATTTGAACAGGATTCTTTTCACAATGTCTATCCCAGCATTTGGCTATTTAGTCAAACAGGGTTTTCTTTCCGGAACAACCTCAAGCGACATAAGTGGGCTCCGTTTATGAGTACTGGGTCATCACAAGTCATCTCTGGAGCCCACTTGCTGTTAGAGAGCTTTATAGTCCACTTTCTTTTGTTATAATTAGTTTTGGATATTCATTAATGACTTGTAACCTCCAGTTTTACATTGTGGATAAATAAATCATCATCATAAAAATCAACTTTAATCTCACACTCATAATCAGATTAATTTAACTCTCTTGACTTCAGTATTTAGGGCATGTGACGACCACCGATATGGACAAAATTCAAACACATTTTAGAGACCGCCTTTACATCTTTAAAGGGCCCAATTAAAAAACATCCATTTACATGTCTTACTAAAGAGCATCTCAACAGCAGTTTCTAAGGGAGAGAGCAAAACAATCTTCCTGCCCAGAGGAAATACGGATTAATGCTAGATATGATTATTTTTTGTTCCATATCCTTCATCAGTGCAGGGCCCTGGGTCCTGAACCTGTCACACAACAGGCTTTCAACAAAGACAGTGTTTTGATCCATGAATCCTCTTTTCACGTAAACCCCTGCGGGGGAGGTCAAAGGTCAGGCTCAGCACAGAACGGCTTCTAAGATGTCTCGCCGTGAGAACACCGTTCCTAATCATCATTAATGAGTGCTAAATATGTACATGAAGAATGATATGTAGTGACTAAAGTCTGCCATAAAGCTAAAACAACTATTTTGCATTGCACGTGAGCTTATGTCACCTTTGTAGCTTGTGTATCAGTACAGAATGCAGTAACATATTTATAGTAATCATCAACATGTCTTTTCAAAAATATTATCTGTTCACATTTTGGTATTTTTCATACTTGCTGAATAGACTGCTTCTGTCTCGCATGTTTAAAAAAATACTCCAGGTTATTTTGGTGTTTGACAAACTTTCCCTAATATATCAGATGACACAACACAAATCTGTCCATCATACACTCTCCTTTTCCCCCTAAATTGTTACCACACCATCCCAGACCCTTTCCCAGCTTCAATTAATGTCTCCACACATCAGTTTCAAGCTGCAAATTCTCCTCTTCCAAAAATGAAAACATTCACATAAGAATAGACAGTTTAAACAGGTGCCATGGTAACATAATCGTCACTGCGGCAATTACTGCCTTATGCCTGACTAACAGCCATAAATCATTCTCTCTCCACAAAGAGGACGTTGTGGCGCTCCACTCCTATCCAATAATCAGAAATTGCTCCATGTACGGCGTGACGAGCGGCCGCTGAAACAGCCCATTCTTCTGTTTGGCGGACGATATTTCGCTCTCTATGGCGACATTACAGGGATCCTTCAGCGAGCACGATATTGTACCTGCTCGACACCTGTTAGCTTTAGCCAAGGGTTTCATCAGATAGTTGAAATAAATACTAGTCATCATCATAACCATAATCATAGTCATAAAACCAGGGGCCTTTATGCTGTTGCCAAATTGCCCTGCCATCTGATTTACAGTCAGACTGGGGTGGGGAGGGGAAACAGATAGGGCAGGGAGGAGGATGGGGCCTATTACGTGCTCAGAATGGGATAAATACTCAAATATACACACCTGCAGACCACCCGTCTCACACACACACATACACACACACCTGGGAACTCTCACAGGCATGCAATGGCTGTGAGATGGGCTTGAGGGAGGAACACAGGAATTCTCTTGGGATTACAAAGACGAACATTGTACTACCCTCACACACAGTGCAGCAGGTGAGTAGAGTGATAAGGGGCCAGAGGACAAATTAGCTCATATTAAAATAATCCCTCATGTCTAATAACAATAATACGCTCCACACTGAGGCTATTGCACATTCACAATGGTCTACCTTTTCAGGCAGCAACATGTTGAAAACAGATTTGCCTGTTTGCAAAATGGGCCCGTCATATCTGCTCGACCTGTCAACAGGCCTGAAATACACAGAGGTTAGAGTAATGGCTGCCAATAACTGCAGTAAGAAGACTGACTGTGTACATTCAAGATCCTGACCAGCTGTTTGACACTAAAGAAGAGCCAATGATGCAGCAAAAAGACGCAGGAAAAGTGTCTTTTAAAGGGGTGCTCCACCAATTTCACACAAACTTTAGACTACTACGACTCACCCTGTGAAAACAGCTGTGTATTGTCCTCTGTGGCTCTGGAAGGAGCTTTTCAGAGTTTGAAAAAACAACCATGGTATGTCTCAGTGTTATTTTCAACTTGAGACTTGCAACATTATTTCATAGAATCAGAATGAATTTCTGCCAGATTAGTTGTCGTTTCATGTGCAGTTTGAGGGGGCGTCTGATTAATTGGCTGAATCATCAACAGTCTGGTCCTCGAATGATCAGTTGGATTTCTGGCATTTAAGAAATTTTGGTTGGCTTGGTCTTGTAGTTTGAGCAGTTCCACGGTCCAATTTCCCAACATGGCTGCTGTCAAGAGATCTGATTTAAACTGTAGTGAGCTTGTTTAAATGTTACTGGGGTAGTATTTCACATGTTGTGGCTAAATCCGTAGTCTTGACTGAGACTGCTGTGATTTAAAACTGAACTTTGCAGGAGAACAGATAGATCATATTGTCTACATCTTCATCGTAGCAGATTTGCACAGAGTAATGCTGCCTTTCTCTCCTTTTGTCAACACTGCAGAGGACGTGACCGTCTTGTTTGAATACATTTTATTAGAAATGTCACTGGACAAAACTGATCAAGGGTTCTGTGCTCAAGTTCAATGTGCATAATAGTGTCATAGCTGGTCAGTTGTGTGTGTGTGTGTGTGTGTGTGTGTGGGTGTAGTGTGAGTTGATACAACATACTGGATCCATGAAAGCGTGTCTGGCCAGTTTAAGGTGTGTTTTAAGGGCTGAAAATGTGGGCAACATTCAGACAGCAGTTAAATGAAACAGAACCCATTCAGTATATTTTAGCAGCCAACTGTATTCAGGTGTTTCTGATTTTTGTATTCAAACAAGTTATAAACATCATGAAACATAAATGAGGGGAATGTGTACAGCCAAGTCCATCATGTTGCTGTGAAGTAACAGTGGCAGGAGTCAATTTCCTTCTGACAATCCAAGGCACTAAGGTAGAAACAAAGAGGTTAACAACATTTTCATCCTCTTTTATCCTACCACAGGTCGCTATTTATAACACAGCTGATCAAAACAGTCTAGTGTCGGCAGTCTAGTGTGCGGCCATCTTCCTCACGTCAGTCTTATCCTGTGTAAGTATAAAAAAAATACATTTCCATGTGTTTTTATTGTTGTTGGATTAACAATTTCTGGAAGGTGCATAGCATGGCTATTACAATAATATGTGCCAACAGAATGGGGCCATAACACTGTCTGTGCAGTATAACACTCTGAGGGTTAAAAATGTGACATGCACAAAGAAAATGTAGAGCAAAACAAAACAAACAAGAAATACTAACAAAACAAAATCTGCTCAATCATGGCATGATTATTTTGACGTATAAAACAGACACGTTAATATGCCACCTATTCAACTTGTAGTTTGGCCCTAAAGAAAAGTTTTAGATTGTGTTACAGCACTATTTTAACTTACTTCCTGCAAAGCAATGACCAAATATTTTAATCATGCATCAATAAATGTTTAAGGCACATAATCAAACATACACAGTAGAGAACACAAGCAGTTCGTAGACATCCATTTCTGATGGATAACATCAACAGCACACTGTGTCTTTAGGTCTGTTAGTCCTTGGTGTTGCAATTTGAGAAGTAACACTGAGATGGAACTATTTACTCTTAAAACAAAGGCAAAAATCAGGGAAAAAACTTTTTATCTCCAAAACGTGTGCTGAGAGCTGAGATGATGATGTTGGAAAACAAACAAAAAACGTGACCAGTTTTAGTCAGCATTTGGAATTATTTCAAACTCAGTGGATGTAAGATACTTCTCAAAGTCAAAATGTGAAAAGCTCAGGGAAATCTCTTTCTAATGTGATCCGAGTACCAGATCTGAGATTGTGCATTAACTCGCTTCTTGTAAAACATATTTCTACATTAGCAGCAAAAACATCCAGTGGCTCTGTATGGACAACTTAGGCTACAAGGTCTTCTCTGTCCAAGCAAATCATGCAAAAGCTGATCTAACAGTAAACTATTAACACTAATAATGTTAAGGTTTTTAACAGTATGATAATATCCCTTCAGTCAAGATGGAGCCCCTCTATGGTTTTGGGGTGTTCTGCATTCGCATTCGTCTCCTGGCCAAGGCCTCCTGTTTCTTCCTCTCGATCTCGGCTGCAGAGCATTTTCCTGTCATCTGGCTTGTGACAAAAACTGGAAAAGAGGAAGGAAAGTGAGAAAAATGAATGGAAACACTGAACATGGTTTGCTAGGAAAAGCTGAGATTTAAAACATTTGCAAAGACCTGGAGAGAAAAGGGGGAAACCAGCCTTAAATCTGAGCTTTTGTATTGCTGCTATAATCTTGAGCAACTGAATTTTAATTTGTTAACATAAAAATGTTGCTACCATAACTAGGACCAGTGGGTACCAATGGTGAAACTCATTTCAAAGTACAAAAAACCCCCATCCCTCCATGTCCAGAAAAGAGAAATCAGTCTGCAGTTCACTGGCAGTGAAGCTTCCTGAGGTTTGGACTCCTGACAGCATCACAAATTAAAGCCATGGCGCTGTGTTTACTTGCTTTGGGGGAAGAATTGTTCAAGTGCACATGCACTGAACTGTCAATGATTATAAGATCAACATGTGACATCTGTTTTACTTGTGTAGTTTTCACTTCAGTATCCAGTCTTACAGCAAAATACTGAGAAAAGTAGATGGAATACACAAATTGCAAAGACGCACTGAGTTAATTAAAAAATAATAATTTACCAAGAAAAAGCACTGAACACTGTTTTGAAGAAAAGTATTCTTCAGTTGTCTTTACAGCTTTTTCTTTAACAAACATGCAGTCTCGTGTGATTACATTACAACACATTCAACTCTATACACTTTAATTTATCTCATGCTAATATCATGTTTCAATAGAGCCCAGGTGGCAATACCAAACTTCAGACAGCTTACCTTTGCTGCTTATAACTGCCGAGTCAGATACATTCCTCTTGAAGGCTGTGTGATGGGACTTGGAGTTCTGTGGTGCGCTGGCTGTCACTGTATGTGGCTTCATATCCACATTAGCATTCTCCGCCTGGAAAGTTCCAGAGGAATCCCTGCACTGCATAAATGTGCCCAGACTCACGCGGCTTCCTGGGAGGCTCTGAGACATCCGTGATTTGTTGCTGGCACCTTTCATGGGAATGTTCCATCCTTGGTAGTTCACAGTTTCACAGCTAGTCCCCGGTAATGAGTTAGAACGAACAAAAGCGCACGGCGACTGTCTGTTAGCGCTGGCAGCTGCTTTCATGGACCAGGCCCTGTCGACTGGCAGAGGCGCGGTGGTTTTTCGCTGTCTGTCTACAGCAATATCTTGTTTTCCTTGGCTGCTACTGGTGCTCACTTGCTGCGGCTGGCTGTTGGAGGTCCTCTCCACACTGTCACATACCTGGTAGAGCAGCGCATCATCGTCCCCATCGTCCCATAAGCTGTCTGAAATGTCTTTAACAGACCCTGCAGCTGCACAAGCCCCCCTCTGATCATTAGTGATCTTGTCAGGCTGAGGAGCAGTCGGTGTCTTTGTGGTAACAGATTTCTGGTCAGACATCTGTGATTTAGGTTGTGTAACAGTGAAGCTGGACTTGGAAACCTCTTTGGCAGCCGTCTTGGGCTGGAAGTGAGGGTTGGACTCTAACTTGAAAGTGCTTCGGTTGGTAGTCTTTGGTTTGGGACACAGTTCCTGGAGTACACTGCAGCTTGGCTTGGAGTTCAGGGTTGAAGGCTGATGTGCAGAGTTTGTATTTGCAGTAGGCTTGTAAACAGAGGTCAAATGAGTAGTATTTGTCTTAGTGTTTGACTGCGAAGTGGCGTTCAGGTTGGCGTCCTGTTGCTGGTCAGGATTCTGGGTCATTGCCAGCACAAAAGAGTCATTAAGTAGGTCATCATTCTCCCAGTCATCATCAAAGTCATCACAGTTGTTCGCACTAAAACCACCAGATCCTTTTTCTTCAGCAGGATGTGCAGCTGAGCCAGAGCCGGGAGCTAATTTGAGCTCTGATTGTCGGGGTTCAGCCACAGTTGAAGACACAGGTTTGTGTTTTATTTCCTGTGAACAGGCTGATGCCGAGGAGCCCTGGCTTAGCGGGCCGCTGACTCTCTGAGTGGAGGAGTCAAACAGAGCGTGCAGCTCTGCCTCCACCCGATCCGCTGAGGACGGACACTTTAGGTCCTTCACTTTGCTATGGAACGACGTCTCTGTCAGTTTCGTTTTGGCAGTGTTCACACATTCATTTAGGTTATTGTTGAAAGTGTTAAGTTGCTCTGAAATCTCCTTGTCTTGCTGCATGTTCTTGTCGAACTGCCTGGCCAGTTTCATGAGGTCCTCTACACTGCTCTGCCTGTGGAGAGGAAACAACAGTGAAGGAAAATAATTAACTAACATAGAAAAAGACAGGAAAACTGCTACAACTAATGGCAGCTAATTAAGTGCTACAGGTAAAAATGACCTATAATGCTTGTTTAACATTGTTATTATAGGAAGTAATCAACAGATGCCTAATCAGAGGGTATCCGGGTCAATATATTGATAACACACCGAGAGGACTTCTTCCTGGCTCTTGGTTGTGGAATCTCAGGTGTGCAAGGGACGGCACTGTCACCTATCCACTGCAGCAGAGGGGATTCAGTCCCTTTTGGTTTCACATCCTGTGTAACACACAAGCACAAAGTTGAAGAAATTCTTTCAAGCATGAACCGAACAAGTCTAAAACCTGAGAGCAGCACACAGAATGGAGTGACAGAACTGTGTCTCGGTTACTGTTGCAATGAAGAGCTGATTTCCAGTGGTTAGCCCAATGCTGGAGGAACAACTGACCTTTGGCGCAATACGGTTGACGATATCTGATATTTCCACAACTCTGGAGTTCCTGAGCCCAGAGCCTAAAAACAAATAATAATAAAAAAATACAATGTAAATTACACATGATAATTGTAATATCATTGTAAAACAGAAAGACGCATGGTCAGCAGGCGTGCATGTCGTCATTCAGGTGTGACAGGTTCCGCTGAGCTAGCCTGTATATAGGGGAACGGAAACATGCAGGCAAATAGGAAAAGGAAACAGATGTGGCTTCTGTGTCGTGTATGTATGTTTACCTGTGTTACCTTGAGTGGGAGATGTGGAATCCCAGAAAATGTCCTGTGATGCTTCCGCGTCACCTGGGGAATCCCCATAACTGAAGCCTGGGTATCTGCTGCAGCCTCTGTGCTTAGGACTCTGCAGATCTGTGTGTCGAATGAATGAAATGAAGACATCTTATTAAGTGCATTTAACTTAACATCATACATGATTAGACTAGTTTAAATATACAGTGTTTGGCTGGCTAACAGCCGAATACTGTAGGATTTGTAAATCTGCCAGCTAAATTGAATCTCAAAACATCATCTTTACCTTGTGCCAAAGCGTCAGTTTCTTTCCAACTTCAGGCAGTTTAGAAATCCAAACACAATGTCAGTGAAGCACTAGATGATTTTTTTCTCAAGATATAACCACTCTCACTCTCGTCTGTATCCCAACATAATGTGGAGCAGCACTGTCAGTATTATATAAATGCATGAGGTCTCTAACAGAAGTCAGTGGTGTGTGTTTGTGTGTGTGTGTGTGTGTCCGTAGGGAAATTAGATCATGTAAGAAGTAATCAAGTTTATTCCGTTCATCAAATTATTCTGTTTTTCAAGCAATCGTGCCGAGCAGCAGACCCGAGCCGCAGCCTCACCTTTGTGCACGGGTGGTGTTGTTGTGCCAGGCATCTGCCGTCCTGTTTTGTCGTCTGCTGTTGTGCTGTGACAAAGCTTAGAAGCACTCCTCCACAGTTCAGCGAACTCAGGAGAGGCAGCGGCAGCAGCAGCCGCATCGGCAGCATGTGTCATCGGCTCAGACACGGTTCACCACAACGGCAGTTTGTGGTGCAATATTCACAGTTTCATGGTTTCGCAAAACAGTTTTTGTTGTGCTCATTCATTCGGAGTGAGCCGCCATGTTTGCGCGTGACGTCAGCGATCTACGGGTGCCGGGCCGTTTGTTTATTTATTTATTTATTTTTAAATCGCAGTTCGCTCGACGGCACCACAAGAGGCAGGTCAAGCTTTGACTGAGCTGTTGGATCATATGCAGAGCTGCAGCACTGAGGGAAACAGTGGAAAAGTTTTCATCTGAAATTATTGAAATTTCACATTGCTAGGATTATAAGTATTACTGTTGGCTGAATACATTTGACACATTATTTCTTCTGTCTAAAACAATGTGAAAGCTTCTCCTCAAGTGAAAGTATTATACAGTAACATACAGTTTTAAGATGCTTGTAATGTTTCTCAAGTCGTTGCTTTTAAAATACGGTCAGTTTATTGATCCGATCCTATTGATTGACATTGTTTATGAAGACCAAAAAACTGCGACAAAAATACTATTGTATAATGTTGTAAGACCTCAGTGTGAAAGGTTCACACAGTAATTACAGTAAGTTGTAAAAAGAGGGCTGAAATATTCTTTGATTTCAGGTTAGGTTCAGGCAGACCTTCTTAAATGCTTTCTAAACACTTAATTGCCGACCAACATAAAAAACACTGCAGATGCACATGTTTAACTGTTTATTTAATTGTGCACAAGGCCCAGATTTTCTGTGCTACACCACTGAAACTATTTACAAAAATATGTGTGTCAGCTTATTATAACCCAATAATATGATAAATAATATTTTAACATTGACAGAGCCCATTTTGCCTCCATAGCAAGTACTTCTACATTTATACATTTTCTATTTTATTTATATTATTAAATTGCTGCATTAATTATGTAAAAGATCAGAATATTTCTTCCAACAATGAGTATTAGTGAGTTGTTGAATTTGGATATAGGCAGAAGATTAAGTAGGAAAACTATGAAGTAGCAAGGACCCTCACACATTATGTCAGTGGGCTGTTTATCTTGGAAAATAAATAAAAATGATAATCCAGGGCCCCCCTGAAGCCTCTTCAAGGACCCCAGACAGTCCCTGCTTAAGGTCTGTACTGGAACTTCACACCGTAAAACCCCAGTAAACATAAAAATAAAATCTGTCTCATCACATTGCCAGTTTCAGGCAACATTACCATTACTCTGGAAAAATGATTATCTTTTTCTTTTTTTTCTTTTTTTTTTTTTCAAATTTCAAACTTAGTTTTAACAAAATGGGGCCAAATCCACATTTATGTCCCAAGGTCTTTGCTTTATCGGGGAACCTAATGAAATACAGACATTAAACGTGAGCTTCTGTGGTGGTTGCAAGCAGTACAGTAAATATGATGGCAGACAGCGTGGTACTACCAAGTAGGTCTGCCCATGTGTTTGCCCAGTAATTGTTATCAGGCTTCATTGGGCCTGAAGCTTGTTTGTTTGTGGAAGCCTTGTTGTGAAGGTTGTTGGTGGTGTGGATTGCATGCCTATTGTCAAACAAATCCATTACACCTTTCACAAATGTTTATTATGTTACTCAAACAAATTTGTAGGCACAATTCACATTACATGGTGTTTGGCAAAAATGCCACAAAGATGTGTTGAGGTTACCGGGGTTACTATAGTTGTGTCTGCAACCAGTTTCCCTTTATGAACATCAGACTGGATCGACCTTCGCTGTACTGTTGTCAAGCCCGTGTTGTGCTTTTAATAGCAGATGTACCAGCAGGTCAGATTTGTCAATTTCTAATAGAGTCAATGCAAAGATCCTTTTCATTTCTTGAACTCTTATCATCAGAAACAATGATGGAAATAAGTCCACAACTTAGTCACTCATATCATTCAGTTGGACTTTTGTAAATATATTCAAATGTTGTCAACAAACCAAAACCAAGACCAGAAAAATAATGGGAGTTGGAGTGGACTATCTGGGTTTAAACTGGCCTCATCTGCTTTCAAAGTTTCTAGCATAAGAATTTAATTTGCATTAGTTTTAATTCAATTTAGTGTCCCATCTTGTTCTCAGTCATTCAAATATGCAGAAAACTGGAACATAATATCAGCTGTTGGCATTCTTCAATCCAAAACAATCAGCCTTCAAAAACGTTTCATTTATGGACACTGTTGAGACATGAAGGAAGACATAAAAATACTGAACTTGGAATGATCATTTGTTTCTGATATGTTTCTTCTACCCCTGAGAAGTTCAATGACCTTGTTAGAAATCTTTAAAATTACATCTACTCCTTATCCCTCTTTGTAAATGCTGAATCCATGATTGTATAAATATTTTTCAAACTTCACAGCTTTAAGATTTCAAGACCATTTCAGGACCATTCTTTATTGGTAAGGGTTTAAGACGAGCACAGACAGCAACTACTTCAGAGCCTTAAGATCAAAGGTCAAAGGAAGTACTCACACAGTGCACTTAAGGGAAAGTATGTCAGCGAGGCTTTTGTGCGCCAAGGTGGCTGATGGGTCAGTGGCTTATCTTTTGTTTTAGTGTGTTTAGGGAGTGAATCTTAGTCCCAAATAAATTTACACATCTAATTAAAACACATTTGTCAAAAGTGACATCAAGGTCTGCGTTGTCTGAACACACTCTCTGTCTCCAGACTGTTTTTCTGACCTTCCAGAGTTGTCTCAGTTTGTTTTTAAATCAACTTGGATTTTGGCTGCTGTTGGTTTTTATCTAAACTATTCATTCATTCTTCTCTCACTCAGTCCACCTTCACTTGTTTTCTCTCCTGTACGGCAGACCGTGTGAGGGATTGCTTTTAAAAATGTTTTTTTTTTTAAAGATCAGTAGTTGAGTATTAAAGAGTTTAATTTAGAGCTGGTGAAGATAAGTGAACATATATCTCTGCTCATGCTTAAGAAACGTCTTACTCAGAAAATACATCTAAAAAGTTGTACTGCCTATTTTGGTCTTCACCCAGAATCAGTGGATCAGGTTTTGGACTTTGTTTGGGACTCAACTAAACATTAGTAATATCCTTCCTCAGAAGATTAGTAATATCCTTCCTCAGACGGATCCTTCCTTAGATGGATATTATGAGAATATTATCAGGCATTTCGCTGAGTGAACTTCCAAAAATTTGTTTTTTTGCATTGGTACGTCACAGTCGAATGAGTAATTGCTTCCGTGGTAACAGGTTAGTGAGTTGATGATTCCAGATAAGCCTTTGTGTTTTTGAAATTATTCCAATGTTTCCACCATCATGATCCTCTTATCTGTGAAAGCTGAGGAAAGGAGGTACATGATGAATGTTGCTGTCTTTGTTGTCTACAGTTAAATAAATGAAACTCTATCACTCATAGTATTCAAAGTTTCCACTGAACACACTGTTTGACTCCTTTGATCAAGAATTTCTTAAAATTTCGTAAGTCACTTGTTGAATTTGTGCTGTTTGGACAAGTCGTGCTTGTCGTTCCAGTAAGGTCAGAGGTCAGCGTAGTCAGAAGGAACAAGTAAGGATTTGAAATGCAATCAAGTGGTTATTGTGTATTTAATATTTTTTGCATTTGCTGAATGATGGGTCAAAGACTGATTTTGTCTAAGCCTCAGTTATGTGATCTAAAATAAATAAGCAATCGGTTCTGCAGTGAGGATTTGGGATGGTAACATCAAATATATTCTAAACACATTTTTTCTAAATTTAAAAGAACTGAGGACTTTCAACACATTTCTGACATTCTCCAGAGCAATTTCCTGAATAAAGCACTAGATGGTGCTTGTATACCTCCTTGGTATTGTGTGTGTGTATGTGCGTCTTTGTGTGTGTGTGTGAGAGAGAGAGAAAGAGAGATACAGTCAGTAAAGGCAGTGTAGATTGGATGCAGAGACCTTGTGTAGAAAATGTTTTACTGAGGTGCTGTGCTGCGGGAATAGTATTTTGTAATAGATAACACACACGCGCACACACACACACACACATATACACACAAGCTGCAGTGAATTACTATGCTTGATTATCCTTAATTCTGCTTTGATTGTTTTCATTTGGAAGCAGTTTATCAATATAGAGAAATGGAGAAGCCAATCAACTGTGTTTCTTTGATTGAGCGCCAGAAACTGTTATGAACAGATGACCTGTAGTCGGAGCCTCCACTTCCCTGGTTAAAGCATAATTCTTGTTTCATCAAAACATCAGCAGATATTTAACCACCGCTAACGATAAATGCAGGGGATTTGACGGCATGTGCAACATGTGTCATTTTTCGGGCAAACTCATTCTCATTTAGTGAATCAAAAGCATTGTTGTTGCAGGCAGGAAAGAGACATTCAGGTGCCCCAGATTCTTCAAGGTGATGAAAAGAAACAAACCATAAACCATATGTTGTACGTTCACCACCAGTTTTCCCACCTCGACCTGAGTTCAATTCTGGGCCAAATACATATTCACATTTTGATATAGTTGTTTTTCAATTAATTACTTAATTGTTAAATCTATAAAATGGGGAGAAAAAAAGAGTATTAAAATGACTATAATTAGTCCCCAAAGCCCTAAAAAGCATCTTTTATGTCAAAGGAATTGAAATTACATGAAACACAGAAAGCAGCAATTCCTCACATTTGGAGCCAGAACCTGTGAATATTTTCTGAACGACTGTAATGAAAAATTATCTTCTTTTTTTTCTGTCAATTAACTCTCTGTCTTTTGACTAATCAGTTAATCTACTCTCTAATCTCTCATTTTCTGTACTTATCATATGTCTCTTATCATTCAAGCTCTGTCATCTTTAAAAATGTATTTCATTTATTCATCCTTTCCTTTCCGGAGATGAACATGGCCGCAGACAGCACATTTATTGCTATACCATTGTCATGTCAGTGGCGTAGCTGTTGTCAGTGTTAAAGAGGTTAACTGGAACCGCCAGTATGGATGTAACAGCAATTTAATCAACAGTTAGCTACGTTTCATGGCTCCTTTTAATGCATTCAGCTAATCTTGGGGGTATCCCCATTGCTCTGTCAAGCGAGCTGTGTCATATCACGCTGCCACGCAAATCCACGCCCGGGGGGGCGCCGTCT